GCATAACAGACAGCATTGCTGATCATCACAGCTCATAACGGCATAACAGACAGCATTGCTGATCATCACAGCCCATAACAGACAGCACTGCTGATCATCACAACCCATAACTGACAGCATCGCTGATCATCACAGCCCATAACAGACAGCATCGCTGATCATCACAGCTCATAACAGACAGCATTGCTGATCATCACAGCTCATAACAACAGGTAAAAAACTGACAGCACATTGCTGAATATTTTCACAGTCCAAAGCAGCAGATAACATACAGCACATTGCTGATGAATGCACGGTTTCCCCAGAATCAGTAATCAGAACTGTGGATACTGTGTTTGAGTATATCCAATCCTTTGACAGCCATGTAGTGTGTGTACACGGTCTAGTTTCTTATCATCGCACTTGGTGATGTGAGGCTTGCATGCAGCTGCTCGGCCATGGAAGCCCATTCCATGAAGCTCCCAGCATTTTTGTGTTGGGGGTTAATGCCAGAGGAAATCTGAAGCTGTAGTCAACAGAGCGTTGGCCACTTTTATGCACTATGTGGCTGAGCACTTGGAGACCTCACTCTGTCACTTTACATGGTCTGCCACGGGTTCCTAAGCACTTCCACTTTGCAATAATACCAGAGCTGACCATGGAGTGTCAAGCAGGGAAGATACTTCACGAACTGACTTACTGAAAATGTGGCATAATTTGACAGTTCCACATCCTTTTGCAAATGTCTGTAAATCTGACTGCATGTCTAGGTGCTTGATTTTATGTACCTATGGCAATGGGTCTGAATGAAACACCTGAATTCAAAGATTAACAGGTGTGTCCCAATACTTTGGTCCTTATAGTGTACTATGGACAATTTGAGACACTACTTCACCTTACTACCGGTTTTTGAGCTGTGGGACGAGACCAGAATACCCATAGAAAACCTGTGCTTCAGGGATACATGCAAACTGCTGAAACAAGCCTTGGGTGTGTGTGAGGCTACAGTGCTGCATCACTCTGTGCAAGCCCCTGATTAGGTGAATCGCTGACTACAATTGGCCATAATGTGTGCTTGCATGTGAGTGTTTGCTCGGCCATGGACTGGTATCCCGATCAAGGTGCCCCTGCCTCAGGTTCCTGGCTTTCTGTAACCCTCTACTGATATGTGCATATGGAAGATTAATGTGTGACTCTTACTTGCTAATTAAATGACTATTTGTAGTTAGTGTTGAATCACAGTTAACTTTCCAAAATATATTTTGCCTGTTTTGGTGTGCAATTCTCTGACTAGCACCTGTTGTTTCTGGTAATGGCTCTGGACAAGAGGTATAGAAGATGAATGAATAAACTAGACTTTGTGCTGTTGGACACGACAGCATTGCATGTCTTGGATGTCCATGTCATTTAGTCTGGGCATCGAATCCATACTCATCCTGCTTTCACCAACCTGTACAATCTCTAAAAGGATCACCAGGAAATATAAAAGTGAAGTACTGTTTCTGGGACTGGGTGGATCATGGAAACGTAAAAGTTAACAAATGTTAACTGGGATTTACCTGAATGCTGAAAGTACTTTTTGTGATATGTAGGTGTGAAAGTATGCATATTAATTAATTGCACATTCTACTTATATTTGCAGAATCTCTAGCAACTAGGTGGTTACTCAAATTCTTTTGTGTTTTAATGTCTATGCTCAACCTTGTCATTTATATTATTCATGTTTAAATTTTTACTATTATTTATGTTATATTTATTTCTCCTTTGTACTATGACCATCATTTTCTGACATAACAGTAAGAACTGTAATAGATACACTAATATTATATATGGAGGTCTGCAGGGGCGATTGGACAGTTTTTTTTATTGTGCACGATGTACATGTAACTCATTTATATTTAACTAACACTTTTATCCAAAAATGTTTACAGTAGAGAGGGAAGACGTACAACTTATGGGTGGTTCCTGGGATTTGAACCCCCGGGGTCAATGTTGTTAGTACAATCCGTTGTTGAACTACAGGACAGATATATTTAACACCATACTAAATCATGCTTTAGTAGGACATGGTCACAAAATACTAAATCAAGCTCTCAAAATTCCTAAAATGTGCGCACACTTTACTTTTATTGTGCTTTCAATTTGCTATTTTAAGCTCTTAAGTTTAATTGATTAAATTTGATCTTTCGGTTATTTGTTAAATAAAACTACCTTTTTGCTATCACTATGCGGCGCTGCTCCATTTGTGGGACAATCTGCCTCAAAATTGGATCACTTCCAGGTTGTCACCCTCAAAATGTGCCTACACAGTTTTAAAAAGATCCACCAAAAACTTCTTGAGATATTGCCTTAATAGTGTCAAGTGGATTTGATTCTTAGCCATGGTATCAATGACCTTGAACAGGTAACTGTGAACATGGAGAAATCGCTTCGCTGCACTCTAGATCTTGTAGCTCCACTTACGAAGATAATGCATAGAGATAAGAAATCTGCCCCCTGGTACTCTGATCATACGCGTGAACTTAAACAGGCTTCACGCAAGCTAGAGCACAGATGGCGCTCATCTAAACTAGAAGTTTTCAGGTCTGCCTGGACAGAGAGCCTCTCTAAGGACAGACAAGCACTAGTGACTGCTATGTACCTCTGCAGGCTAATTGAAGAGAACAAAAATAATCCTAAATTCCTATTGAATCTGTGTCTAGGTTAATGCAGAATTCTTCAACGTTAAACTCAGAAGTCTCACAAGCTTCTAAGAGCAATGACTTCATGACATTTTTTAATGGTAAAATAACTAAGATTAGACAGACCATCCAGTGCATGTCTGTAGCTACATACACCTGCCAGCCTCCTGCTAGTCCTATGCATAATGATAATGTGAACTTTGAATCTTTCCTTCCTATAAAACAATCAGAACTTTTGAGCTTAGTTTCCTCCTGCAAATCCTCTGCTAGCCTTGTAGACCCAATTCCTACAAAATTCCTCAAGGGGATTCGACCATTGATTAGCACTACCCTATTAAATGTGTTAGACTCGTCTCTTAGGCTTGGATATGACCCAAAACCTTTTAAAATGGTTGTTATTAGACCTGTTCTAAAGAAACCAAATCTTGAACCTAGTGATTTAGGAGGCTATAGAACTATCTCAAAATTTCCTTTCATTTCAAAGATCCTTCAGCTGTCTTCTTTTCTACAGAAAAATAATGCTAATGAATTACATCAGTCTGGCTTTAGACCAAGCCATTGCACAGAAATAGCTTTAATCAAAGTAATGAATGATTTGCTTATGGCTTCTGACTATGACTGTATATCTTTGTTGGTATTACTAGATATAACTGCAGCATTCAATACTGTGGACCATAGTATTCCCTTGGACCGGTTACAATCTGTGGTAAACATTAAGGGGACAGATCTCTCTTGGTTTCGCTCTTATTTAACTGATCATTATCAGTTTGTCCATGTGAACAATGAATCTTCCAAGCCTACTGAAGTCAAATATGGTGTCCCACAGGGATCAGTGCTGGGTCCGTTACTGTTCACTTTATGTACGCTACCACTTGGTAACCCTCTGAGACATGCTACCCAGAGACCCCAATTATCAAGGTATTTTCTACCCCGCTGCCTGCGGCATCTCCACTACCTGTGACGTCCTTCCGGCCTGCTTGCCCTTCTGCCTGTGACGTCTCTCCTGAATCCCCTGCTGCTGTACCACTGTTTGTCCTGCCATCTGAAGCAGCACCAGCACCTACCTGCCCCCCACATTGAGACTCCACTGTTAAAATTGGGAGAGTTTGCCAAAATTGGAACTTTGCCATCTTGCCCATTTGACTTCCTCTGCTGGTCCCGGGAGGATTCCTCCCCCACACCCCACCCCCTGAGTCTGGTTCCTTCCAAGGTTTCTTCCTACTAGGGAGTTTTTCCTTGCCATTGTTGCCTCTGGCTTGCTCACTGGGGGCTTTGGGCAGGAATAAATGTAAAGCGCTTTGAGATAATGTATTATTGTGAAAATGTGCTATACACATAAATTGAATTGAAATTGAAAAGTGTCAAAACATTCCAGCTGAAATTCGGTCTTATTAATCTTGGACCGGGCAAATATGAAATGCATAGTACATGGCAGGTATGCCTCTTAGTAAACATTGAAATTAGCCTGGCTCGGATTGGTTTTTTTACCTGAAAAACAGCTGGAAACATGGCATTTTGAGCATTTCAAGATTCCTTACATGGGCATATCTACTGTGTACTATGCATTTCACATTTCATAGAAGCTAACTTCATCGTCGTGAACTCAGGTTTGTACAGAACTGAAATTATGCTGGTATGAAATGCTGCTTCTTCAAAGCTTAACTAAAGTTGAATAAAGATCTGTGGATAATACATCAGATATTGGCAGATAATTAAAAAAATGTTGCAGCCGACTTCATGTCTGTGAACTTCATGGTTACATTTAGTAATTATTTCACACACAAAGAACGAATGAAAACAGAAGTGAAAGAATCCAAATCCAAATAAATATGCCTCAACTCATTCGGACAGAAAAACTACAATGCCCAACATTTTGTTCGACTTCCGGAATTAGCACTCGGTTTAACGTCACACTTTCAGTTTCTTGGTGGGTGAGCGAAACATATCGCTTGGTAAGTTTCTTAATTTAATATTTGCATAACTTTCATGAAATAATTATTTTGTAAAACCAGCATACTTTGAATGACTGAAAAGGGGGATGTAGAGCGCGCTTTTGGTTGGATTTAACTGTTAGCTTTTTATAACAGGAAGTTCGTCAATTTGTATTTTGTATTTTATTCGCACATGAAATAAGCTCCGTGTTACAGGGGAGTTACTGTGTCTGGTACCTCTGCCGTTTTTTAAAATATTTTAGAGTATGCGCTATGAAATAGCAGCAATTGGCGGTACTCGGGGATTTTCAGACGAATTCATTAACAGGGCTGCCAGCTATCACGCATCTGGCGTCATACTCATGTTCTCAGGCTCTCACGCAAGAAAATATTACAGCAAATATATTTTATTCCACCATAAACCTGAAATGAGCTACAGAGTTTCTCAATGAAGCTGACTTAAGGACTCTGACATGGCCATTCAGGTACTGTATATGGAATTTGTTCCGTTTGAAGGACTTGTTGTTGAGTTACTCCTGTGTTTTGTATCATTGTCGTGTTACATGGTCAAGTTTCTCTGGCACGTTTTCGGTCACAGACGGACGTCCTGGCCTTCTGCTGTGGCGTTTTGTGATGTAACTTGCAATTCACTTGTCTCTTAAATGACAGGAGAGACTATACTCACTGCAGAGCATGGAACTGTCCAGCGATGATGCAGAAAGGCCAAACTTGGAGGAGAAAGAAATTCAGGTAAAGTACTATAGAATTGATATGCTTCTTTTTTTTTTTTTTT